TCTTTCATTTTCGTTTCCACCGATCCTGTTCTTGGACTGACACTGGGCCATGGAAGATGAATGCCCTTGGGGCCCCTTGGGAGAAAGCGTTCTATCGAACCCCTCGACCCCACCAAACCACATCCCCGAGAACACTTTTTTGAACACCAAATGGGGCGATCTTCGGATCTTCCGTCTGAGGTGCTGAGATGCCGAGCAGGAGCTCCGCATGCCAGTTGTGTTTGAGGAGGACCTCAAACGACAAAATGACCACAAGTTGCAACTTCTTCTCGTGCGCTTTTCTGTTCAAGGCTCAATCAAGGCTGCGGACTGGCAGAGGTCCCAGGGCTTTGGGCACTGGTACAATGGAGACGATTGGACGAAAGCTGCGAGCTCTGAGACTTTGTCACGGGCAACCGCACCAAGAAGTTCTTGGTGTCTTTACCCGAAGACTTTCGGATACTTTCGGCCTCCTTCGGTTTCCTTTTCATCAAGCGGCTGGCCGAGGGAGGTCGCAGGACGGAGGCAGCCCTCAAAAAGGTCCTGTGGCGACAGGAAAACATGCACTGTTTGCTCAGATTTCCGAATGGCGCTAGAGCATGACACAGAACCACATGCAAGTGAAACGGTGGGCTCAATCAGCTGGGCCACTTCAGCAGCCTTGACCCCCACAAATGCAAGATCCAATCAAGATGCACTATGCAACTGTGCAGCTCTCGTCTTTGGGCAGGCGGTCTCAAGCAGTCGGTTCGAAACACATGGGGCAATTGTCAGATGTCCTCTGCCCACACTGATCTCAAAGAGATGAACCCGAAGCATAAAAACCTATGCGGCCTGTGTGATTGCGTAGCCGCCCTGCGAAGGTGTTGGATAGATGGTATGCTGAGGGCTGACGCTGAAGTTCTTTCTGGGGCCCTTAATTCCGGAGACCGCACGCCCTGCAAATCCACTCAGCCGAGAAGCCTAGACAACATGCCCTGCACCCCCCTCAACAATCCCCATCCCTTGCCTGCACGGCCGCCTGACGCGGCGATCTTGGGCGAAAGTGCCGCCAGCTCGCGTGCACCTGGAGCTTGTACCGGCTGACACATTGTTTGCTCCTGGGTTGTGGTGTGCCTGAGATAGCGCTCACATTTTGGATTTTGTCGACTAGATTCTGTCCGCGAAATGACGATGTCGCAAAACAAAAGGCCCGTTTGTGCCAACTTGAAACGATCAAGGTTTGTCAAGTGTACCCTAAACCCTAAAACCCCTAAACCCGTTGCACCCACATCGCCACCATGAAAAGCTGGAAAAGCCAATTTGGAAAGGCCACCACTTCCGACCATCAGAACCATTCAGAACCTGTCTTTTTTTGTTGGGCACCTATCCGCCGAGCCCCGAAGCCTCTGGCATTTGGGGTTATCCGCCGAGGCCTCGGGCCGAAGGTGTATAGGTTGTCAGAACAGGCACCCCCCTCCGAATCCTCCCCCCAAGCCCAACGGCCCCCTTTTTTTGCTTCAAATGGGTACCCCCCCTAGGAGAGGAGGGTCCGCAAGCGGATGTCTCGCCAGGACCAGAGGCAGTTGCAGCCCATCCCAGCAGGGCGCCCCCCGCTTCCCCCCACCCACCCCTCCCCCCCACCCACCCACCCCCCCCCCCCCCCCCCCCCTCCAACCCCACCCCCCCCCCACCCCCCCCCCCACCCCCCCCCCACCCCCACCCACCACCCCCCCCACCCTCCCCCTTCGAAGCCCCCACCCCCCCACCCTGCCGAAGAGTCGCCTTAAACCTTAAGGGGCCTGGCTCAACCCTACGATCACTCCAAGCCGAACCCTAAACCCAAAAAAACCCTCAACCCCAAAGCGTGAACCTTGAGCCCTAAACTAACCCTCAACCCCAAACCCCAAACCATAAACCATAAACCGGAACCCTCAACCCTCAACCCTCAACCCTCAACCCAACCCTTATTGCTTGGGGTCCAGCGACTTGGGCGCTGCGGAATCACCATGCTCACGCGGATGCGCTGGGCCGGGCCGAGGCGGGTCGCGTAGCGTTAAAATTAACAACCCACCTCCATTCCCCCTCCTGTCCAGCAGGCCGCGAGGCCCGGTCTAGCGCTCCCCATGAGTTCTAGGAACATGCTCAGCCCGACTGACATGCGTGAAAGAAGCAATCCGCAAAAGGCAGTCAGTCGCAGCTCTGTTTTCGCTATGCTGCTGAAGGCTCAGTTTTGATGACTGCGGTCATCCGGAAAGGGCTTAGAAACCGCCCGGCGTGGCTTGTAACGGCATTCGGCTAGTACAAGCAGCGGCGAAGTACCCCAGCTTTGGAGCTGCAGCTCCCAGGGGGCTGGAAACACGTAGAGGCATTGAGGAGCGGCAGCTCCCACATTCAAAGGCTTTTTCTCTGGGGGGAGGGTGGGTACCTCTTTCAAAGCTATTAATTGAGCCTGGAATGTTGCGGATTCTGCATGCCATGTGCGATTTACATGTTCCAACCACACCCCATACACCCAGCTGGTCTTCCTCTTGACATGCTCTGAACTACGAGTACTCTGGACCTTGTGTGGACTTCGCGGGATCCTATGACGGTCTGGACTCAGGACTCGGTATCTGGACGCCCCTCAAGCCCAAACGGACTCGCATAGACCCGCTCTGGTCTTCTCGCACGGTTTTGGGCGGCAAACTACACAAAGGAAACTTCGGCAACTTCTCCCACAAGCGTGGAGACAGACTGGTTGGCCATCGCTGGGGAGATGTGAACCCTAGTTAAACTCTAAACCCCGAGCCCTGCTAGCCGCTGTGCCGGCGCTTGCCACACCGAGGCTAATGAAAGGTCGGTTTGGGGTTCTTAAGGTAGAAATACTCTCGCAGCAGTCTCGAAGCCAAGGTGCTGCTTGCGCATGCGCTGCGTGAGCCATCTCGGGAATCTCCTGAAAGCAGGTTGCCAGAAGAGGGAGTCCAGCGTGGTGTTTGCACAGTACACCAAACCCGACACCCTGGTCTGAGCCCGCTTCATGAACTGCTCAAACCGGCAGTCTAAATCTCCAAACCCGTGACGGATGAATGACAAATTGGGCAGGTCTTCGGATCCGTTGCAGGTCCAGCCACCTCCGGAAGGCCATCTGGATGACTGTCCACAAAAGAGCCGCGTCGCGGCCGGAGCTGCAAGAGCGCTGGCGTGTCGGAGGAGTTGCACACCTGGGACCCGAGGGTGCCGAAGCTAGTCACAGGATAAAGTTGTAAAGTTGGATAGAGTCTTTCGATAGAGTCTTCAAGAGCCTTTCCAGAGTCGTGAAAGATTTGGGTGACTGTGGGTGTCAAGTTGAGTCATGGAAAGCCCTCAATGCCCGACTTCTGGAGAACGGCTGAAGCTAAGAGCACTGCGATGGCCGATGCCATCGAAACGCTTGCCGCATGCAGCAAGAACAAGATCCTGCAAGCCATGGCCAAGTCTTCGACGAGCTCTTTGGCCCGAAACTAGACCTACCCGCTGTGCAGCCTTCGATGCATGGTACACGCGCAACGAGTGTGAACACAACTCCTACTGCTGAGGTCGGCGCGAGAACAAAAAGGACTAATTAAGCACTATTGCCTAAACCCCGTATGGCCCCAAAGGCACCCGTTCTAAAGTGGGGAGCAATGCTGACTACGCCACAGAATACGGCTTGAGCAACAAACGCAGAATGAGAACTGCTTCCGCGAGTCCAGCACAAAGGCATCGGCCGAGTATGTGGGTGTGGGAACGGAGTTCGAAAGTGCGACACGAATCTGCGGCGGTCCGGCCCACAGTGTCTTGGATGGGAGATGCCCGGAATCCAACCATTCGTAAAAAAAGCGATATTATGCGTCCATGATGAAATCCATCGGCAATCTGAAGGGGGAAGCTGACTGGGACCTCGAACCTCGTCTCAGTAAGAGGATCTCTTGTAGAAGAACGTTGGCCGCCAAGCCGCTAAGCCTTTTACAGGAGAAAACACGCTGTTCCAAAAAAACCCTGAACCCCAAATCCAAAAGCGATCACCAAGTGCAACAGAATGAGCATCGCAGAATCAGTGCGCTGCAAAAGTGTATCGCCTAGCTGCATCAAACGGCAACCTTTGCTGCAGCTGCATTTCAGATTCCTAGCCCTGGCAATCCCAGGCTTGCGAAAGTCAGCGCAGCTTGTTGTTGATTCAAGTTGACAGTCTTGTGCAACCATTCTTAAGCCCTCTGCAATAGCATGCTGCAAACTGCACTGCAAACTGCACTGCAAACTGGCACTGCAAACTGGCACTGCAAACTGGCACTGCAAACTGCATTGCAAACTGCACTGCAAGCTGCACTGCAAGCTGCACTGCAAACTGCACTGCAAACTGCTAGAGAGGCGGGTGAGCAAAATTGGGCAAGCAGTTGGGCGAACAAGCTTTTGCGCAACACGAAGCTGCAAATGCAATCTGACACGCCACGCCGCATTAGCAAAGGTCTACGCTTCGCATGTCGAGGAGACACCTATGATTTGTTTATGAGTGAAAAAGTAAGTTGCACATGCTTGGTGATCGGTGTCAGCTGCCTTGAACAGATTGCTGCACACTTCAGGGCCATTTTGTGTGTAGGTCTCAGTCTCAGTGCCACGAAGCCAGGATCGACATGGCGGCTCACTCTTTGGATCTTGAGCATACGATCTGAACTGCGAAACATGTGTCAGGGCCGCTATGTCATCCCTGGCGGATCGTAGTCATTGTGCTTCACTGCGCAGCGCTGCACAGGGTACTCACCTGCCATGAGTGAGAGGCTCTGGTGAATTTGCCACATCAGCACACGAACTACTAAAACCTGAGCCCGAGCCCTGTCTAAAGAAGCCAAGCATAATTACTTCTCGCCTAACGCTGACGCTCCTACCCTCCACACGCCCACCACATTCACCAAACACATCTGCTGCATCTCTACATCTCGTCTTTATACTGGCTTGCACATGACAACGAAATACAAGTCTTATCATGCGAAGGTACGCAAAGTCAACATTGCTTGCGTCATGGTGTTGGAGTGGGCCTCGACGTGCTAGTCGTGGGCAACCTGACTGAAGGTCATGGCTCCGGTGACACCATAAAGCTTCAATGAGCATGCGATGCATTATGCTGATTGGCACGAATTCCAACAAACGCAATGCCTGTTAGGAAAAACTAAACTCTCCGTAGGCAGCACAGCCTGATGCAAGCACGATCTTCAACTGACATACACACCAAAACCAGAAAGGCTTGCAGCTGAGATATCCGTCTGCGTAAGCACCGCACCATTATCATGGCGACCAAGCATGTGCAATCCTCAGATATGTGCGCATTTGATGCCACTCATTTGCCTCGGCCTAGTGCCCATGTTCGTTTTGAACGTATTTCTTGGAGGTACAGGAAGCAGGCCACATTCTACAGGCATCTTTTGGCGTTTCAGGGTTTCTAGGGGCCTAAGGCAATCTGAGGCCCAGGTGGGCTGTCATGTTGGGCAGTACCTGTCCCTATCCGAAGGGCCTTCGTTTACCTTTCTTGGAATCGGATACCGGAGCAACGTTCGGCTTTCAAAGCTTGTGCCACTCCGGCCAAAACGCTGGCACGGTAGCGTACAGAATGCGTACACTGGGCAAACATCCTGCAAGCCTGCAAGTTGCTCTGACTTTGGCTCCCGTATCGAGCCCATCCTGCACATCTCGCAAGATGAATCCCAAATCACATCGCAAAAATCACATCGCAATTGACACGCTGCAAAGCATCAAAAGCCAAAGCCCAAAATGCTTCCCTCAGGAGGCCAGAGCCGAGGTCCAGTGTTTACTGACCATAACTGACAACATGATGTTGCTCAGGCAGCCGGCATCGCGACTGCCCTTGGCAAGGGCGAACTGCACAATGTCCTGGCTAAGATGCTTTAGGGTCCATCCTTTATCTTGCATTGTGTCATGTGATGTCATGCGAGGCGGGCTGCACCAAGTCCTCCGCCAGCTCGTGGAGAGCCTGTGACCCCGCTCTTGGTACCTGCCAGGGTTGTTGATCCACGAGTCCGGTCGTGACAGAAGGCACCGAGAAGACGAGGTCTTGCCCGAACTGGCTTGAAACAGCAGGCTAACTGCATGCGGCCTCCAATAGTGCCTCAGGACTTAAGAAAGCAGCCAGGTCCTTCGCCGACTCAAGCGCAAACAATAGGGAAGGAAACAACCCGTGACCAATGACAGCATTTGCGAGCTGCAGTCAGCACATGCAACGTCAAACAAGTCCTTTCTTGCTTGTATCAGCTTGCACAGGTCCTGCAGAAGCTTGAAGCTTGAGGTTCACTGGCCATCTGTGCCTATTCTTTTTCCGAGGAAGAGAGAGACTAGCAGTGACCAACAAGAAGCAAATTAGGCATGGCTGAGCATGGGAGCTCTAAGGAAGGACGATGTCTCTCGGTGCCATGAGCATGGAGTTGGAGGCGCTACAGACAATCACCCATCAAAACCGTTGCACTTAGAGTGAACCCAGCGAATCCTCATGCACATCAGTGCATGTATCGAAAGCACAAAGCAACCAGGGTGTGACTAGGTGTGACGGTGTGCTGCCTGATTCATTGCTGTTTCGACTGACAAAAAATGTGTACAAACGAGCAGAGCAGTCTGGAATATTGTGCTCAATGACTTAATGCCGCCGTGGCCGTCCTGCCCAGTCATCACGTCCCAAACGCCGTCGGTGGCACACATTAAAATTCCACGGCGGCCACTGGCCGTCGAACCTCCAGTACGCTGGTGGCAGTGTGAGGACAAGAGGAGCGTCAACGTCAGATGAGGCAGGACAAATCCGATAGCAACTTGAAGACAATGCTGTGAGGCTGTGAGATCTAGTACAACTAGCAAATAGCACCATGGACACCAGATTGCTCGCTTGCGATGCTTATCAAACATGTCGTGTCTGTGCATGGCAGGGTTCGTTTGAGTTGCGGGTTCCACGAGCATGCTGAGTTTGCTCAGTTTCTGGCCAGCATCAACCTCCACACTTCGCACCTGACATTGAGACTGCATGCTGTCATGATGTCATATAAGTGCGCTAGGATGTCAATGTCGGCTCGTGTGGTGAAGCCCTTTTTGCAAGAAATTCCAAATGGCCAGGAATGCCTCAGGCACGATGGAGATAACCCCTGGTTTCACTGTCATTTTCACGTCGAAATCGCCAAGAGTCCTGCGCCGAATTTGGATATTTTGGGAACTTGCGAACAGCTCTAAAGCCAGCCTGAACTTGCGCACTCTGCGATTCCTACCTGGTCGCCTTGACGCGCAAACTAACCTTAAGATTTCTTTATCAGATTATGACACATCACACAGCATGCTTCGTGTCCTGGAAGGTTCCAGGCCTTCGACCCTTCCGTCTATGACCTCGGTTTTGGGCAGGAATGACACATCATGTGGGATATTCGACAGTGCGATGTCAGATGCATCTTCACATGTCGCTTCGAGCAGGAGGGGAAAGCCGACGAACGCGATGAAAAAACCCTTCCACATCTCTTCAGGTATCATCCTGCTGCTCGGGCTTAGTGGTGATTATGTGCAAGCAAGGCTTTGGGTACAGTATTCTGAGCCGGTCACAGATCCACCTACCGCCTCGATGCGCTTCTGTTCTATCGGGCAGCTGGCCTTTCAGATTCTGGCAGGCGATGGCAGGCGTGACTTAACGTCGACTTGCAGTGGCAGCTCAATGTTCTCAGCAGCTGTTGACTTTGCATGTAAGGTTGGAGCTGCGCAAAGCAGCAGAGTAACTAGAGCGCGCCTTGTGGTCGCGAGATAACCACATGAGGACCTCTGCCTGCCGCTGAAACTTTCATGGAACTGTTAACAGTCCACCACGTGACAAGAAGAGACCCCGCTCGGCTGTGAAAAGCGAGGCCGAACTGCCGGCTTCGGCATCACCCCATATTGCATCCATCGTTTCTTAAAGTTCACCATAGATGCAGGATGATGCTGGCAAGGGAACCCAAGGGTTCCAAAGTTCCAATGTGTTCCAATCGCGGTTCGGGCCCCTGGTTCGACACTGGAAACTTCGGTAGCTTCCCCACCGCATCCGACTAGCCCTATCTTTGCCTGATAGTTCAACATCCGCGAAGTATTCTGCTGTCTCTGGCCCTCGGGCATCAGCCACACTCCGCCCAACCTCTCCAACTTTCCGGCTGACCCTTGACTGCAGCCCTCAGCTGTCCGAAGGGTGTGAGCAGGACATGCGGACATTTTGTTTACTGCCTTGCCTCTCTCACCGCTGGGTCTTGGCAACCGCCGAAGGGCTGCATATGTTTTTTTGTTTGACAAAACGATGTTTGCCTTTTGAGTAACTGTCATTTTTGCTCAACATTAAACTCAATTGATTGAATAGTAGCGAAAAGCATACATTTTGTAGTCGAGGTAGCGTGCAGCACGATGAAGCAGTGCTTGCCTTGGCTGCACCGCTTGCTGTGGCGGATGCCTGGACTTGGGACTTGGACATGCAACTGCTTTGAAAACACGCGGACCTCTCCACACAGCATCTGCAACATGAAGCATGCTTGTGAAAACTTCGGTTTCATGTAACTGTACAGCTCGATACTGGTATTGCTGGTGCAAGATCAACAGGTGGCCTCAAGCAGCACAAGAGCTGCTCGGCAATCGCCAAGATTCGCACACCACACGCGGCCTGGACCCGAGGTCTTGCAGCAAAACGACGATGCCAAAGCTGACTCTCGGCCACATGTTGAAGCATAGCTTCCTTGCAGGCACTTCGACCGTGTATACAGATCAGATGGATTCAAGTGTAGGGCCAGCAGCAATTGTGCAGCTGTTGACGCACCTCAACCCACAGCAGTGAAACATGACAACACATGACAACACGCTGCAGGAATTGGCTCCCCACCCGGGCCACTTTCTTCTACATGTGCTACAACACTGCAGGGAGCTCTGCATTATGAAAGCCAACGCACAACACCCAAATAAGGCGCGCACGTGCCGGCAGTGGCGTGCTCGCGTTTTAATCGGTCTTCCATCTCAGCCATTGCTTCCATGTAAGCCTTGTCAGCAATGGCGGCATTGAAGCCCTTACAACAAAAATTAAGGCCGACATGTTGCCCCAACAGACCGACAAGTGCCAACGGTTCCGACATGTTGATCCGCAAAATCTAGTCATGCCGACCTCAACGATGCAATACCTAAATATCCCCCTTGGATTAAGGGTAAGGGAGGTTGGAAAATGCCGAAGGCAATTCTCGACCCCCCCATCGAGATCCAGCACAGACCCCTCACAGACGCAAACGACAGTCAGAAACCATAGCTGCCGAAACTTAATTGGCGAAAAGGGGGTACCCCCGTACTGTTCCGGCATTTATAGCCGAGCGGGTTACCTAAATGGCACGTCATTCCCCGCGCCTGACTGATCGAAAGGCCATCCTGTCACGTGCAACGGTCACTCGAACATGCTGCACCTACACAATCCTTGCATGTCCCTCATAAAAGCCCATTAAGAAAGGGCGGAGATTTTGTTTAGTGTTTTTAGTTTTTTTAGGTGCTCATTTTTTTCGTGGTTTTTCTGGTGCCCCGGTCTGCTGGCCCCCTGGTCTTCCTAGGAAAAGGCCACATTCCCTTTTGAATTTCCATAGGAGTTGGTCGATGTTCTTGGTTTCTCCAAAAAACACATCCATTCTCCCTTTTTTTGCTTTTCCTACGAAAACCTCCATTCCCTCCATATCTTCATCGGATTCGTACTGCTTGTCGTAGGAATTCTTATAAATGTTGCTCGCAAGCCTTAAAAAGCGGGGAGTTGGGGGGGGTTAGGGGGGGACGCAGCCAACACAAATGATGGCTTTCAATCGTTCATATGCTTTGAAACAAGCTTGCATTACTAAAACAGGCGGAGGGGGGATTGGGGGGGGGCGCAGCCCCCCCCCCCAAATTTGCAAACACAGTGCTCGCATCATGGGTTTCAATCGTTCATATGCTTCGAAAAGAGTGGCCTGATGGGCTGTCATCGTTCATATGCTTTGAGAAAGGCTTGCACGGCTTAAAGAAGTGGGCGGGCCGGGGAGCGGGGGGGGCTGGGGGGTCGGGGGTGGGGGCGGGGGAGGCGGGGGGGGGCGGGGGGAGGGAGGGGGGGGGGGGAGGGGGGGGGGGGGGGGCGAAGGGGGGGTTGGGGGGGGGGGGGGGGGGGGTGGGGCGCAGCTCCCCCCATTTGCAAACACAATGCTTGTTCATGGGTTGGATCGTTCATATGTATGCTTAGAAAAAGTGGCATGATGGGTTTCGATCCTTCATATGCTTTGAAAAAAGCTTGCACGGCTTAAAGCAGCAGGGGGGTTGGGGCGGGCAGCCCCTCCCCCTTTGCAAACACAATGCTCGCATGATGGCTTTGAATCGTTCATGTGCTTCGAAACAAGCTTCCACGGCTAAAAAAGGCGGGGGGTGCCCCCCCAACCCCCCATTTGCAAACACACACAATGCTCGCATCATTGGCTTCAATCGTTCATATGCTTTGAAAACAAGTGGCCTGATGGGCTTTATTCGTTCATCTGCATTGAAAAAAAGCTTGCACGGCTTGGTAGCAGACCAGGGGACCAGGCGACCAGCAGACCAGCAGACTGAGAGACCAGCAGAGCAGCGGCCCAGCAGACCGGGGGACCAGCGGACCAGGAGACCAGGGGACCACGAAAAAAAGAACAAGTACCAAAACAAGAAAAAAGTACCAAAAAAATAGGCCCTCCATTCAGAAAACTGAACACTGCCTCCAAACAATCGCTCCCTCTATTCTTTGACATATGTATATACACATAAGCATGTACATATGCAAATATGTATATATGTTCACATGTAGGACAATTCGCAAAAGATTACGTCCCCAAACTTGGTGTGACAGTTCCTCTATGGTTGTAACTTTTGTATGTGATCACACATGCGCTTATTTGCAGATGACTGTCAGGTACCTTGTACAAGTGATTCCATCACTGCAGACAGAGAAGCCACGTGGCATAGCAGAAAAGCAGCAACTTGAAGAAAGAAAAACAAGCAGGTAGAAACGCAGGGGAGAAGTAAAAGCAACGCAAATTAACAAAACAGCAATCAAAGAAAAACGGCCACCAGGCCAAAAAATGTTCAGTGAATGCTCATATGAACGCTCGCGAGAGAGTACGGGATGTTCACGGGCTCCCACACAAGAACTTTCCTGAATGTGAAACAGCGCATATGGCTTTCATCCGCCTTCATCCGCCTGCCGACAGCCACTGGAAGCAGTTTCGCGACCTGCTGCATGTGATCCCATGACCGTCACGACTACGGTACCGATCCGCTCGGCTGACGGCATACATCCTGCTTTTGCATGTCGGCTCTGATTTTGTAGATCAAAATATGAGCTGGCGGCCAAATCAGATGCGGAGTCTGTGTCGTGACCGTCTAGGACACCAACCTAGACAGACCGTGCAGGCAACATGTGGAGGTGTCCACCGGTTGCTGGTAAGCCCCCTGGCAGTGTGAAACGGAATCCGAGAATCTCCCAGGCAGTCGTGAACTGCCATGCATCGATCCTGCAAAGCATGCTGGTTCAATGCATCGGGAGTGGGATCGGGGTAGGACATAACTGTTCTTGATCTCATACTCATGAATCCAAAACCTTACTTGCCATTTCAACTCCAAGGACAGATTCATTACGAGCTCGGGCTTCGCAATTGATGGCCCCCCAGCCCGATCACCTTCAGCCCTAAACCTGGATGCTGGACGTTGGCGCGTCTCAATCCGCCACGCTGGTCACATGACATTTACCGGAAGGGGCTTCGAACCCTAAGCCTACACCATACCAGGAGCTGCTCATAAAAACTATTCGGGTCGGGTTTAGGTTTGCTCTCGGATGATTTAATTTTAGGGTGTTTCAAGGCTTCAGCGCCAGGTGGAGCCAGCGGAGTTTGTGGTGGTAGTGGTTTCGGCGAATTTACAAGTTGCACCGGATGCATCTTGCGTTCCAAGCGAAAGGAACAAGCGAGGCCGCGACATTCATCGTGCGCAGCTACCGCCCCCAACATTTGCATCTTGTACGCATCTTATGTTCTGCCACGCGAAACTAGCAAACCTTCGCACGTGTCCATTCGGACGTTCATCTGAGGATGGGTACTACTACAGTAGTCCGTCCCTTGGACAAGAGGCGAGCCAACCGAAGCCACTTCTTTTGGCCCTAGCCTGGCAGCAGTAGTAGTAGTAGTAGTAGTAGTAGTAGTAGTAGTAGTAGTAGTAGTAGTAGTAGTAGTAGTAGTAGTAGTAGTAGTAGTAGTAGTAAAAGTAGTAGTAAAAGTAGTAGTAAAAGTAGTAGTAAAAGTAGTAGTAGTAGTAGTAGTAGTAGTAGTAGTAGTAGTAGTAGTAGTAGTAGTAGTAGTAGTAGTAGTAGTAGTAGTAGTAGTAGTAGTAGTGCAGGCCTTGTAGCAGGTGAAGATGTGCCCTTCTTGCCCCTCCAAAAACAATTTGAAAATGGCGCCGGGACCCGTGTCGCCCCTCCAAGACGGTTTTACACGGTTTTGGCCCAGAATCCCGCTCCGATGAAGCCCAGATCTAGCAGAATGAGATGCTGACCTTGGGGGCCGGCGGGCTTCTTGAATCAGGCATTCTGACGAAAAGAAGCTGGCAGTTAAGGGCAGTTCAGCATTGTACCCCGGCACAAGCCAAAGCGACAATAGCCGTTTACAAACCGTTGAAAACCCTCGAAAACTGCTGGGGAGAGAGGGGGGGGGGGGGAGATGTCAAGGGGACACAAAACCGTAAACAAACCGTTTTGCGACATGCGAAATGTGTGTGTGTGTATATATATATACATATACATATACGTATACATATACGTATACGCATACGTATACATATACTCATATACATATACTCATATACATACTAAGCACGCAAGCTTCCGCGCTTGCAGATAAGCGGAGACGCCCTGAAAAAATCGAAAAGTCGAAAAGTCGAAAAGTCGAAAAGTTGTCGACTTTTCGACTTTTCGACTTTTCGACTTTTCGGGTCTCGCCGGGACTTTTCGGTACTTTTCGACTTTTCGTGGCTTTTCGGGCTTTTCGACTTTTCGGGGCTTGTGCACTTTTCAAGATTTTTCTACACTTTTCGACTTTTCGGACTTTTCGGGCTCATCCCCCTCAGGACTTATCTGGACTTTTCGACTTTTCGTGGCTTTTCGGGCTTTTCGACTTTTCGGGGCTTGTGCACTTTTCGAGATTTTTCTGCACTTTTCAACTTTTCGAGCTTTTCGGGCTCATCCCCGTCAGCCCTTCCGACGACACACACACACACACACATCCTAAACCAGTGCTATCATAAATCTACAGCCGCTCCGAATTTAAGAAGGCCTTGTAGGCTTCGCCGCGTGGATCTTACATGCGACAGCCTCAACGACGTGCCTGGGCAGCCTACATACATCCGGAGAAGACACTTGGCGATCATCTTTAGACCCAGGGCCTTGAACCCAGATCTCCAAGAACATTGCTTCAGAGTTTAGAGCCTATGGAGTTTAGACATTCAGGCTTCACATAGTCCAGGTTAAGAGTTTACAAGAAAGATTATTGAAGCAAGAAAATCAAGGGTTGAGCGTTAGGAAGAGTTCCACTATTCAAAGACAAGGTTACAGAGTTAGTTGTTCAGAGCACTTTATCTCTAGACCCTAACCTGCACCCAGATTTCCAAAGAAGTTCAGAGCTACAAGCTCATACCACCCCATCCCAGGATTAGTGCAGCGTACCAAGAGATCAAACGCTTCAGAGTTTAAAGCTTACGGTGTTGAGAGGTTCAGAGTTCAGGGTCAAGGCTCGGAGCTTTAGACATTTGTTATGTTGAAAAGGCTTAAGGATCATATCAAAAATATGGGTTAAGGGTTAAGAAGAGCTAGACTGTTCAGGGGCAAGGTTAAAGAGTTAGTTGTTCAGAGCACCTTCAAGGCCAACTGCCACAAATTTAGTATCTTCAAGTACGACTCTGAATTTTGAGGTAGATTCAAAAACAAACCAAACATCCAAAACCCTATGATTCCTACTCAGTGAAACTCAGGCCTTTCCTGGGCCAGCGGCCCGAAATCTACAAGTTCTAAAGCTTCTTGACTCCCGAGGTGAGGCTTGAAGGTTAGGCTTTTCGAGCTCACAAGGTTTACACCTTCCAGGACGACTGCGTGTCCATCCAGTCCGTGCCCCCCAAGCCCCCCCCCCCCCCCCCCCCCCCCCCCCCCCCCCCCCCCCCCCCCCGAACCGCATAAAAACCAATGCTGGGTTCCCGGCACTTCACCTTACAACTTCTAGAAGAATGTGCTTTGCCCACTTTTCCGCCTTTCGACATTTCGGCTTTTGGACATTTCGGGACTTTCAGACTGCTCGGAACGTTCAGGATTGTTCGAAAATATTCATGCTTTCGACTTTTCCTACTTTTCGGGATTTTCACAACTTTTCGACTTTTCGACTTTTCGGCTTTTCGGCTTTTCGTTTTTTCGGCGACTTTTCGTTTTTTTCGGCGACTTTTCGGATGTTTCGGTACTTTTCCCGCAGTTTCGACTTTTCGACTTTTCGCCTTTTCGCGCTAAGCTTGTGCCCCAATCAACTTTTCGACTTTTCGGGTTTTCGGCTTTTCGGGTTTTTGTGGGCGGACTCCACTTGCGGCCGCGGACAGCCGTTCGCAATCACAGCATACATATACTCATATACATATACTCATATACATATACATGTACATATACATGTACACATACATGTACACATACATGTACATATACATCTACATACACATGTACATATACATCTACATACACATGTACATATACATATACATATACATATACATATACTACATGTACATATACATATACATATACGTATACGTATACGTATACATATACATATGCATAACTAAATAAAGGCATATTTGAACACATTATGCATTATGTTCTGCAAGTTGTATATGTACTATACTTTACTATACATCCATATTCTAAGCCACAACGCATCGCGAGAGCATCATCACATGGACATTGCCAAGGGGAAAGGAAGCCTGGGGGGCCAGTTTGCGTGGGAAAATACAGGTCGCAACGGTTGTGGTTTGCATTCTACCAATAACCCAGAGAAATGAGCAACACAGGCCAACGCATCACCTAACAGACATTGTCAAGGGGAGAAGGGGGCCGGGCTCAGTCTGCGTGGGTGCGTCTTGTATCTAGAAGGGGGCCACTGGGCTCAGGTTGCGGGAGAATTCCAGTCGCAACGGTTGCATAGTTGCATTTTGCATTTTGCCAAAGACAAATGAGCAACAGGCCAACGCATCGCGAGAGCATCAAGGGAGAAGAAGTGAACAAGACGACTGCAAGTAGGCACAGTGAATTATAAGCAAGCATTGAGCAATGCATTGCGGTCCTCATTTTCGTGCCTGCCACCCCAGTTCTTTGCTGTGTGCGTCGCCACCTCTGTTCCGAACTATGCAGGGCGACACGCAAAAAGCCAGCCAACGGAAGTGACTGAACATGAAGTCCGCGCACATAGAAACTGCTGCAGCCTCTACTCTACATCTGGGAGGCTTGTCTTTGTGCACCTGACGGCAGAGACGGATGCTCAGCTGAATACAGGCAGTTTACAAGCGCCTTTAACATATACCAGAATGTCCAGCCCAGCAAGCCAATCTCTCAAGAGACGAAAGGAGGGAGCCTTGTGAGGGACGATAGGGGTGATTTAGGGTTTACTTAGGGGCTATATAGGGGCCATATATAAGGTGTATATATAAGGGTTTAAAAAGGGGGTATATAGGGGAATAAGACTAAGGGTCCCGTTTAAGGGTCAAAGCCGGCCGGGCCCAAACACCTACAGGACATACACCCCCAAAGGAACAGCGAAAAGTGTCGCAGCAACGAACCTCTAACAGCTCATTGAGCCCAGATGGACTGGATGCCGGTGAGACCAGAGGAGCTTCGGCCTTTGGACTGTCATGTTTGCACATGTTTGCACCACTTGGCACCCAGCTGCACCTAGCTGCACATAAAGTGCTCCCCGTGAGATGCGTCTGAGGCTTCAACTTCAGGCACAGTGGCAGCTTTGACTGCAGGTTGTCGGCGCCCGACAAACCTGCGGCTAAGCCCATCAGCCCGTTTTGGCAATCCAGCATCCCCCGCCTGGAAACCATTCGACTCGCCAGACCCTGCTGCGTCTTTACCTGAACGTCGCGAAGTGTCAAAACGTTAGGTTGACAGCCCGTGGAAATTCACCAGGGCCTGCGCGCCATGCACAGCCCCGGAACAGGCCGGGGCTGGCAACGGGGCCAGAACGTGGCACCTCACTCCCATGGAGTTTGGAAGCAGGTGTAACCGCACCACGTGCTTCAGCAGCACTTTTGTTATCTTTAGTTGCTTCCACGTGTCCTTAAAACAAGACATTAAAACGATATTTCCTCCGCGGAACAAAGCCATATGGTTTATCACTACTCTCCTACAGATTCTAAACTCAAACCAAGCTGATGGCAAAAAATCAGTACTGCAAGCTCAGGCACAGTTGGGTCGGCACGTATGGAGGCAGGTAGCACTGGTCACACTACTCATTCAATCCAAAAAACCTTTGAACCACGAGTCATTAATGCAAACTTCAACACTTGCAAGTCTCCCACACAGGCACAAGAGTTCCCTTGCGGATCCTTGCAGTCTGCAGACTCTATGACTGAGTGCTTCGATGCAGAGTGCTACAAAGTCCGCCAGTGACCCAGCATCACCAAGAACATGACGCAGCACGGATTGCCGTTTTTATGCCGACATGAGCCGACCAAGAAAGTCTGCAACAAAGTCCTGGCACAAAGGTGCTTCTAGGCTTTGCAGAACGAGATTCTGCAGCAGTTTCGGAAGGCATGCTGCGGTCGCTCCTACCAGGTGCCGCCCGTCCCTGCAGTGCCTGCAGACACCTCGAGGTGAATCAGAACTAAGAAGAGAGTGGCCAGACACGCTCCAAGTCAGCCCGCAACGACCGACCTCCGCTGTAAGCCCCACTCCCACACCGTGATCGTACTGAGCTCACCGCTGTACTTCCATAGTCCTGCAAGCAGCGTTCTCTTCTAAGTTTGTGACTGTAAGATGAACCCAAGGTGGGATTGACACAGTTGCTTTGCTGCTCCCAACGAGATCGCAGCCTGACGGTGTCAAGTAGCTTATCGCAGTAGCATTCCCTACAGGCATGCTTGTAGCGTTCCAATCCCTTTGCTGTTCAACCGTTCACTGAGTTGACGGTGCAGCAGTTCTCACCGTGTTGATTGTGTATCAGCGGAAGACAGGAGGAGTCTGAGGAGTTAAAGTAACGAAGCAGTATACGGTACCGTGTGAAAAATCCTAGTCCCAATATAGTCTGTTCGTCATAGCGATGGAGTTGAAGGGTTCATTGTTGCCGACGAATGATTTTTCTGAACTACAGGCATGTTCAGGAACATCTGCAGACACATCATGGACCCTTACTCCGCACTTCATACATCTGCCTCCATCTAAGATGAAGCTGGACCCTGCTCGTTTTTCCTTTTTTGCATAACCCTGGCGCGCGTGCGCATATGATGGAATGCACCCGTACTATGTCTCAATTTCGCACACTGGTGTCTGAACCAACAACTTCAGATTCAATCTTCATGCTGGCAAGGTCGACTGTCTAGGGTGATTGGCATTCTTTCGTGGATATTTGGGGGCATAGGTGTAACGGTCTCGAACGCAAAAAGGATCAGTGCCAAAACGCATCCGAAGTCCTGCGGTGCCCAATGCGCAGCCTGCCTGGCTTCAGATGCTGCCAGGGCGGCACGGATTGCGGCAGCCGCTGCGGCAGTACGTCCAGCAAGGGTTGGCCGCGAAGAGGCGCAAGTGTGTTCTTCCGCTTGTGCTTCCTTGACAGTCCAACTTCGCATAAGGTGTAAAACATTACTTTGCTGTACAAGTGCACCGCCGCTCGCTGTATCATTGCGATCTAGCCGGTTCAAAGCACATTGTCATCAACCACTGAAATACGGTGCACAAGCCAAACTCACAAGATTCCCCATGGTTCAGCACATTGACAAGATTTGAAAGAGACTGCAAGAGTATGTTGATATGCACGTTGCTTGTTGCAGGCACGGGGTCGCTCCACACCCCAACCTGGCCTATCGGCCATCCCGCCCCTTACCCATCAATATGGCAATCACTGCCCTGGGAGCGCCCATTTGCAACAGAGGTTTACACTGGAGCCGCTCTCTTGGAGCACGAACCTGTTTCAGCGTGATATAGCACGATGCTCCGTCGGGAGGCGGTCAATACGCCTCTGTGCTTAGTGCGATTCGAACGGCCAAACCAAGCCATGAGGGGTGCAGGGTGAGCAGGCTTTGTCCAACCGTGTGCGAAATAGCTCCTATCACCAGCTCTGTTGCATTCTTGCTCGTACTGGCTGGAGCCTGACTTCTATTGCTGACTGCTACTGAATGCCACTACTTGAGATCGGGGCCACGAAAGCTAGAAACGCGGCTGACAAGCAAGCTTTTTTCGAGTCAGGCAGGAGAAGTGCGGGCGCAGCAACAACGCTGCAAACTCTGAACTGTAAGCAAAACGAAACATGATGGGACACACAGCGGTCGCACTAAGAGCTGTCGGAAGCTGCGGATTAAAATGCTCATCCTGGGACCTTACAGCTCGACAGCAGGGCCTGACCAAGAAGGAGGGGGAAGCCTGAAAAGGGGGGTGGGGGGGCCAAAAGGGGGGGGGGGGCCCCCCCCCCCCCCCTCCCAGAAATCAATTAAGGCGACCCTGAAAGGAGGGGGGGGGGGGGGGGGGATCCTATAAGGGGGGGAGGGGGGGCCCCCCCCCCCTCCACAGCCCTTTATCTCTTTGATTTTCATACCACTTAAGGGTCGGAGTCGCTTCTTGACCCAGCTGAACACTAGAGAGAATTCTTGCAAACGACAACTCTCGCGAGCTCCAAGGAGCTAGCTTTCGTGACTTCAGGGCGATGCAGCACTGTGACTGGCAGTACTAACGAAAACCGTTGCCAGCCCAGACCCAAGGCACATTGTCATGCTCTGCTGGCAGCAGCCAAGCGCAGACCGGTGATCTTGAAGGCATGTGTATTAGGTCCCCCTGTTCCTCGCAATGCTGTTTTGGCTGCAAATGTGCAAGGTTCCCCCCCCCCCCCCGAAATATGGATGCAACAGCATTTCCCAGCCTCCCTGGGAAACAGGAGAGCAAAGAAGCCACAAGCGAGCTGGATGGTGAAGCAGAAGAGATTCCTGAAAACAGGTTCCAGCTTTAAGGCAGCATGGCAATGGCATCACAGTAGGAAACGTTCCTCTTCGGCCTGCAGCTACTGCACAATTTGTGCACGTCACTTGGAGCTCAGCTGAGGAGCGGCACGGTGATCCACATGTCCCACAGCATCAGCCCACAGCTGACCCACAGCACAGAAGAACACAAGCCCACCACGAGCAGCTCCACATTAATGGAAGCCGAGCACTGAGTCTTGATGACCTGAAGTTCTAGCCGGCTATTCGGCACACTTTGCAATGACGACTGAAGAACATTCGAAAGCCATGGAACTGGCATCACCCTGCGCAAATGCGTTTGTCCCTCTCGCCTTCGGCAAAGTGGAGCACAGAGACGTAGCACTCACAATGCTGGACAGGGAGGACATGAGGCCACTGAAGAAGAGCGCATTCCCGCGGCTCAAAGAGCAAATCGCTAGACCTGACACGTGGACGTTTGCCAGCGAGGGTTTTGCCGACATACAAGAATGAGTCACTTGCACTTGTGCATTCAAAGCCACACTGCAAGCACACGATGACAGCCACAGCGCGGAAGTAGAGGTGCAGCTGCTGCAACGCCTGTTGGATTGCGCAGGAATATGCAGCAACAGCAATGTCTTCAACCTGTCCAGACAAGCACACAAAGGCCTTGCTGTCTCGACAGTTTCGTTGGAAGCCCCACACATAGTATATACCAAGAACAGCACCGGCAACGTTGGAATAGAACAGCCTTGGCAAAGGAGTGGCGGGATTTACGAACTGAAGTTCTGATCATGCTGCTTGTCCCAAGGTGCGTGCACGACGATATGAACAACAAAGTTAACATGATGAAAGGCAGCCACAATCATGTTCTGCCGTTGCCACTATCGGTTAGAATGAAATGCGGAAAGCGTGGGCTGATGAAGGATTGCTTGATAGCAATGATACTGATCATGATGGCAGCAATGAGAATAAGAATGATGTTTGCCGTGATGACAATGGTACCAATATGTACTCATGATGACCATGCTGATCATACATTGCTAGTGATGATAAGCAGAAAACAATGACAACGATGACAATGAGATTACCGATTGAAACGCTATAGTATCTGACATGCCCCAAGTAAACCGTCTGTTTTGCTGTGCAGATCTGTAACCCTGCATGAAGCCCCGTGCAAAATTAACACACCTTGTGGTTGAAACGGACGATACTCCCTGCAGCAAGCCGGTGCATAAAAAACCACGTCTGGGTGTAGGGAGGCGAGCGAAAGGCCCGGCCAAAGCGTCTCCTCGCACAAAATGTCGATGCTTGTTTCCCGCATTGTCATTGCTATCCAATCCAGGGCGATAAGCAATCGTATGTGGCCATCCAATATTCTTAGCGTAAAGAGTTGCAACCAAGAAAACCTGGCACTGACATTAGTCTGATTGCACCACCCTAACTGGCCAGTGGTAATGATGTCACAATCACATTCGCTGATTTTGCAGTAAAGTTAGCCGTCGGCCTGTACGAACAAATAACATGTTTAATGAAAGCAGCAATATTTTCTAAATCGGCCTGACATACGACTTAAAGTACAGTATAGACTACAACTTTTTGCACAGGGCGTGACCTTGCAGCCTGAAAGCACCAGAAATCCACTTTTCTGGGTCACGAGGTACGCGAATGTGCCATAAAAGCACCTTGGATTACAAGTCGAACAGCTTCCGTAAGCAAGTCAACCGAATTGGGCAGGGAGCCATTGCCACCCAGCATAGAGGATGGACATGAACGGAGCTGAGTCTGCTTCACCAGTGTCTCCCACTTTCTGAAATTGCTGCACCTTGTTCCAGAATTCTCCAGAAATCTCCAGAGACACATGCTAACATGCTCCAGACGGACAGATGCGCTGTGCGCTCGCAAGTTCCAAACTACTTGCCCACGTCAGGAATCGGGAAGAGTTGGCTTACCCGGCCTGTGGCAGAGGTGATATATAGCAAATCACGTTGCCTTGGCCACCAATGACACCGTTCCTGCTTGAACTTGTTTGAATAATGTAGAAATGTAGGTTTGCAATACACTGCAGCTTGCCAGAAATACCCATGCATGGAATGACGCAAGCCAGCCGTCTGAGTGAAAGGAAAGACAACAATGAATGAACTACCTACAGTATATATAATATCTCTCTCACAGCTCGATGCGGTTGAGCCGCTGAGCATGCAGAGAGCTTTCACGATCAGTGCCAAACTCAGCGTCGCCGCAAACCGCGCTTGCGGTGACAGATCAGACTTCAGGGCCTTGTCGCGAAGGTGAAATCTTGCACTGCTTGACACGCACTTCTGAACTACAAGAGAAGCTGAGTCTGGGGACCACGGAAGGAACTTGCCTCACATGGCGGCGTGCAATCACTGGTAACGACTGCCGAGCACTAACACCCACTGTAGTTACAGTAGCTGATGCAGGCCAGCACTTCGAAAAAGACAAGACTATTTGATATTAATTGCCAGGCTCTTTCAAATGAGGCAGTATCTACCTACAGGAGACATGGTGCTGCGATTTTGCTTACAAACAGGGCGAAAGGTTGTGTGGTTGGTTATGGGCTGGTTGAGCGAGCGAGAGAGAGAGAGAGAGAGAGAGAGACAGAGAGAGAGAGAGAGGAAAAAGAAGAGAGATGGAGAGCAGAGACAGCAAGGAGATTGAAAACAAAGGAGTCTTCAGCAGGTGCGGTGCGGGTGAACACTGCCAGGGCTGATAACTCCGCGTGCACCAGCCAAATTCTTTGCCATGCAAGCTAACTACACAGGCCTGTCCGAAGTCTGCAGTGGAGTGAGCTGTTGGGCCTGAGTTCACGAGGTACAGTCTGCACAAATGGATCGCGCAATATGGCACCCGGATGGGCCAGGGTGCAGACGTGGGGTGTTGTTTGTGCAGTCGTTCTCTGATACCATTCATAACCTACGTACGAGTACTGTACTTAAACTTCTTGAACGTGCTTCGTAACTTTGCGACCTGGGAGCACTCTGGAAGCTCATATATACATATATACACATACATACATATATACGTTGAAGCCGCTGAGCATGAAGATGCACACTTGCAGCGACAAATCAGACTGCAAGGCAGTGCCTGGGTCGGGACGACGGAAACAACTTGCCTCACACAGCGAAGCACACTGGAGTGAGCTCTTACGCAGAACTTAAGTAACTGCGAGTGCACATGAATGCACCGGCACGGCCTGTCCGAAGTCTGCGGGAGGGAAGATGCTGGCAGAGAGGGTTGCTGCACCTGCATTCCGCGTGCCAAATTTGGCGCTAGGTTCCACTGTGGCACGCCGAGCGTAGTCTCTTCAGTTGCCGTAGCCGGCTATCACTGCGGCGATCACGTGCTCCGAGCGAGAGTTCTCTGATAACATTCAGAACCTACGAGCACTGTCCTTAAACTTCTAGAACGTGCTTCGAACCTTTGCGACCTCGGAGCACTCTCGCAGCTCTATACATATGTATACATATATATATATATATACGTTTAGGCCGCTGAGCATGAAGATGCATGCAAAGAGATCTCGCGACTAACGTCAGGCTCGGCGGCATTTCAGTTCACACTTGCAGCGACAAATCAGACTGCAAGGCAGTGCCTGGGTCGGGACGACGGAAGCAACTTGCCTCACACGGCGAAGCACACTGGAGTGAGCTCTTACGCAGAACTTAAGTAACTGCGAGTGCACATGAATGCACCGGCACGGCCTGTCCGAAGTCTGCGGGAGGGAAGATGCTGGCAGAGAGGGCTGCTGCACCTGCATTCCGCGTGCCAAACTTGGCGCTAGGTTCCACTGTGGCACGCCGAGCGTAGTCTCTTCAGTTGCCGTAGCCTATCACTGCGGCGATCACGTGCTCCGAGCGAGAGTTCTCTGATAACATTCAGAACCTACGAGCACTGTCCTTAAACTTCTAGAACGTGCTTCGAACCTTTGCGACCTCGGAGCACTCTCGCAGCTCTATACATATGTATACATATATATATATATATACGTTTAGGCCGCTGAGCATGAAGATGCATGCAAAGAGATCTCGCGACTAACGTCAGGCTCGGCGGCATTTCAGTTCACACTTGCAGCGACAAATCAGACTGCAAGGCAGTGCCTGGGTCGGGACGACGGAAGAAACTTGCCTCACACGGCGAAGCACACTGGAGTGAGCTCTTACGCAGAACTTAAGCGAGTGCACATGAATGCACCGGCACGGCCTGTCCGAAGTCTGCGGGAGGGAAGATGCTGGCAGAGAGGGCTGCTGCACCTGCATTCCGCGTGCCAAATTTGATGCTAGGTTCCACTGTGGCACGCCGAGCGTAGTCTCTTCAGTTGCAGTAGCCTATCACTGCGGCGATCACGTGCTCCGAGCGAGAGTTCTCTGATAACATTCATATCCTACGAGCACTGTCCTTAAACTTCTAGAACGTGCTTCGACCCTTTGCGACCTCGGAGCACTCTCGCTATACATATGTATACATATATACGTTTAGGCCGCTGAGCATGAAGATGCATGCAAAGAGATCTCGCGACTAACGTCAGGCTCGGCGGCATCTCAGTTCACACTTGCAGCGACAAATCAGACTGCAAGGCAGTGCCTGGGTCGGGACGACGGAAGCAACTTGCCTCACACGGCGAAGCACACTGGAGTGAGCTCTTACGCAGAACTTAAGTAACTGCGAGTGCACATGAATTCACCGGCACGGCCTGTCCGAAGTCTGCGGGAGGGAAGATGCTGGCAGAGAGGGCTGCTGCACCTGCATTCCGCATGCCAAATTTGACGCTAGGTTCCACTGTGGCACGCCGAGCGTAGTCTCTTCAGTTGCCGTAGCCTATCACTGCGGCGATCACGTGCTCCGAGCGAGAGTTCTCTGATAACATTCATATCCTACGAGCACTGTCCTTAAACTTCTAGAACGTGCTTCGAACCTTTGCGACCTCGGAGCACTCTCGCTATACATATGTATACATATATACGTTTAGGCCGCTGAGCATGAAGATGCATGCAAAGAGATCTCGCGACTAACGTCAGGCTCGGCGGCATTTCAGTTCACACTTGCAGCGACAAATCAGTCGGGACGACGGAAGAAACTTGCCTCACACGGTGAAGCACACTGGAGTGAGCTCTTACGCAGAACTTAAGTAACTGCGAGTGCACATGAATTCACCGGCACGGCCTGTCCGAAGTCTGCGGGAGGGAAGATGCTGGCAGAGAGGGCTGCTGCACCTGCATTCACCAAGTCAAGTGCAGTCATTCTGAGGTTTTGACGGTATAGAGATCTGTTGAGATGCCGTGCTCGGGTTGTGTCGGATCATGCTGCATCCCAGTCCCGTGCTGCTTTGGTCCTCGAGGCTACATATGATACACATGTTTCCTTCCGTTTGATGCTGGCGACGATCACGTTGTGCTACTAGGAGTTGCTAGGCAGCATGTGTCAGGATTCATGTCCTTCACGACCCTAGGGCTTAGGAGCATTGCACCCTCAAACGTAAATCCAATCCTGCTCTCATCAACAGTTTAAAAATCAAGCGGCCGTGCTCGCTGCATAGCTGGTGACGAGCACTGCGCTACTACATGAGAACCAGACCGCCTTGCCTGGACCACTGAAGGAACTTGCCTCACAAAGCGGCATGCCATCACTGCGAATGATGGCTAGCACCTATACCACTGTTGACGGGTAAGCCACGACCGGGCAACGCGGATGACGATAACAAAGAGATACCAAGATAGTAGCAAGAAATGGTCCCGGACCTACCTTTCTTGTGTGAGCTTCAGGTGCTGGCCTCAGTAATTAGGGTGCTTCGGGATGTTTGCAAGCAGAGCTTTGCAAAAATATCGGTTGTTCCAATGGTTGTTTAACGATGTTTAACGGTTTGCTTGCAGAAGCATTGGAAAACCCGTAAACACCATAAAACCGTGATTTACAAGTCGGCCCCCTCCAATGTCAATGGAAGTCTCGGTTGTCATTGTTTTTTTCGAATGTTGGCGCGGGCAGACCTTCAAAAAAGATTGTTCCGATGTTTTCTGAGAGTGGCTTTGCAAAACATTGGTTTCCACTTGCCTTCAAACGATTGGAAAGTAAAACAAAAAAACACCTTGAAAAGAAATGAAAAAGCAAACATGCTTTCTGTCGAAGCTGCTTGGCCACCCCATCCAGTAGGTTGTAGAATCATGGCTGTCTATGGCTATTTATTGTTTTTTTTTGTTGTTTCCCGTGTTTTCGGAGCATGGGCTCACAAAAACCTTGGAAAACCACTAAACACCATAAAACCAAGAGTTTCGAAACTACTCGGCATCCCATCCAATAGTTCGTATGGTCTTTTATTGTGTTTTTCAATGCTTTGCTAGCATGGGCCAACAAAACACTAGTGTTTCCAATGTTTGTTGCAAGTGGCTCTTCAAAAACATTGGCAAAACCAATGCTTTCTTAAGTGCTTTTCTTTTATGCAGATGGGGTTGCAAAGACATGGGTCAATCAGGGCGAGTGGCCTTGTGAATTTGTTTTTCTGTGTTCTCTCACGTTCGATATACATCTGTGTCCCTACTTGTAAATACTGGCACACAACCGATGGACCCGCATGTCGCACCTTTTTTGCACGTAAGGCCACTCCTGCCCCCGCCGGCATTTCACCTCCTTTAGTAGCTCATGGTCTGTCATGCCCTGTCTGCAACCATCTTCTTGATCGTTTTAGCTACTCTTTCTGTTACGTTCGCGTCGGCCGATGTTAAGATATGGCCTATTCTTTCATCTTTCGAATAGTCTTGTAGTTTCTTCTCGTTCAACGTCATCAACTGAGAAAACAACAACCCCCTGAACCTGAAAACATTCCATCAAAGCACCATGCACCGCTGCAACGTATCGGTTCACTATATGAGTCATATGAGGCTTCTTACGAAAATCATCAAGACAAAATGACGCATGTCGCTGATATTCTTGTTCTTAAAGTTTGTGGCTTTCATTGAAATAACCATATTATCCATCATATCAACGCTAAGACCTGTCCTAGCATACGGCGCAGAATAACTGCGAATTATAGTCTCTGCTTTGAGTTTTGTCTGCCTTCTTAACCCAGTCCTTAACGTATTGTAAAGCTACACTCTGTGATGTCTTCTTGTGTCGCAGTGGATTGGTAGCTTTGCCGGTGTGGACCCGTCATGCAGGTCAGTGTGCCTCAGCGTTTCCACATGGCACCTCCAGATCCAGCAACTAAAAAGCACTGAAAGGACGCCAGCAGTGCACCCATCAGGCGGAATGCTTTTGAATGACAAAACGGAAAAACGGAAAACTGGCAGAATTCAAGTCAGAGCTTTCCTGGCTAGATCCCCAGGAAAGCCAGCGTCCCGTCGAGCATCCCTGTCTCACCCCAGAGAAGCCCGCAAAGGCTCCCGCCGAGTACATGTCGTGGAGCGCCCCTCCCCCACCCTTTGCAAACAAAACGCCCGCACGACAGGGATTCGCATATTTTCTTAATGCAAGTCCTCCTTATGGCATGATCTTGTCTTCATGCAGCAAGCTTGCAAGGCCCCAAATCAAGAAAAGCAGGGCCTTTCATATTGACGGTGGCACGGGGCACGTTTTTGCGGTGCCGTCGCGGGCCCAGGACTCACTGACTCACTTCCGGCCTCTCGGCTACATCTTCCGGTGATCGACTGCAGAGCAACAAACCCCGGGCGGGGTTCGCCACACATCTACATAATCCATCATAATCCCATGGCCGACTGCACAGAAACAAATAGACTCGGGTCCCCCAATCCTTGTCCACACAAGCAGTCCCTAGCAAACAGCACTGGCCTGTCCGAATTCTGTGGCAAGGAGCGCGCTGGCGAAGTAGGCGGCTGCGCCTGCTTTCTCGCACGACATCAGGTGTCAACAAAAAAGCGTGCGTGACATGCTGGCCACACGGCTGCCATCCCGACGCCAAACACCACAACCATAGTAAGACCCGAATGGGATAGATGGAAACCTGTGACTGCATCCGTTTAGATGCGATGACACATCTGAGGCAAGGCCCAAACGCAACATCCTCGAGACAGTGAGTATACCAGTAATTTAAAGCGTTGTTTGCGCTACTGCCTGGTGGAGTTCAGGCTTTGAGGGATTTGGAGGCATGGTGTTGAGATTCTGCATTGGATCTCTTTAGATGTGGCTTTCAGTCCAAGCTCCTGCTGCGGCAAACTGACTGCACGACACTGCGTGGTCCCTCCACTGCCGCTGGCGAAACATTGCATAGTCGTCTGAGAAAGAAATCGAAGGTACTGGGTACGAAAAAAGTTTGGGCCTGCCTGGGCCACGAATGCCGGCCTTCAAAGTTGCCACTCAGAGAAGTCTTGCTGCTTGCTGACAACCAGGGGTGCCCTAAAGACGCTAGAGTAATTGGCAAGCCAATGCCCTTTGAAGCTTTTGGAATCACAGCTTGCCTCCCCACTACACTAACGGTACGCTATGCAGAAATTCAACGGACGGCATGTTTGCAACAGCAGCAGCAGCAGCACAGGCCTGTCCGATGTCTCCGACAGGGAAAGTGCCTGCGGCAGCTTGAATGAGCATCATATTCTAGGCTGCTGTTTATAGGCACCAACGAGCTTTCCCGTTCCCCGTGCGGGGTCGCTTTTGACCGGGCAATTGCCGGGACAGGAGTAGAGAATTTCAGTACAGTTCAGAAGATTTTTTTGCAGCCATGGCAACGTATGGCTCAGCAAATGACCCATTGCTGTAGCGATTCAATTCGAACTGGTGTGAGAAGTATATGCAGCATGTACGTGTGACATTCATTCAATCGAATCGTCTTTTCTGGACTCTAGACGTTGATATTCCTCATGCTTTGCCATCAGCAGGCTGTATATCTCGCCAATGGTATTTGAAGCATGGTGGGCGGCCATACCTTTGGACAGTTTCACTCTTGGTACATCGGATGAGTGCATGATCCTGTCTCCTCACGACATGTTCTCTTTCGATAACACGTTCCATCCATGACTTCTAAGAAACACGGTGATGGCAAAATTCACACTGTCGAGTTCAGGTGGAACTGACAGCGGACTTGGAATGCGCGCGATCTTGATCTGTTCTAGTGCCGGCAGCGGCAATGACTCATCACAGGCTTCTGGGCTTCTCCTTCAGAATAGTGGTCTTGAGGTCAATGTGTCTCAGGTGCCAGTGTCGGTTAGGATCCAGCGCCATTTCTGGAAGTTTCCATTCCTGTCACTTTAACGGTAAGCACCCATCGACCGGCTCCACTCGTTCAAATACCTGGTTGTCGAGCCAAGATTTGGTCTTCAATCCTGTTGGTTTCCTTGAGCCCATGTGACAGGGCTCTCTTCCCTTCGTTTGTGGTTTCTTCTCGTTGTGCGTTCTTGGTCGAGTGTCTGTTTCACCCGGGCCAGTACCTTTCTCTAGTATCAGCCTTAGAACTACGCCTCAGAACTATGGCCACCGTTGGATCGGCATTGTTTCTCCACGATTCTCGAGGAGCACTTGCCCGAACAAGCTTCACTGGCCATAGAGAAGGATGCTGTACAGAGAAGGAGGCTGTACTTGCTGAAATCTTCGGCTTTCAATAAGAACGCTAAATCGGGTTTGGCAAAGCTCAGAGGAAGAAAAAGGGAAAGTGGTAGAAAAAGGTGTCCACTCGCAGGTGGCCCTGACGATGCAGCTGTAGGGATCCACAAGGTCATGAGGATCATGATCATCGTCATCTGTCGTGCTGGCGCAGCTGCCGTGCACGAACGCTGCTGGAAGCACGACGACCGGGCGAGAGTCTGTAGACGGCCAGCAGGCGCAGCATCGGGATGCACCGAGGAACACGCGGCATACGCCCGAATGGGAGGCATAGTGGCCGCAGTCTTGGCGGCAATTGTATAGGGTTTTCCTTCTCAGCCCTGTTTGCTGCGACTGATAGTCACATGAACGGCAAAGCGTTAGGGAAGCACAGGCGCGAAGAAAAATCACGACATCAGCCATGCCTGCTCTGTGCCGCAACGTATACTGTATGAGTTGGTCTTGCTCAGAATAGAATCAATAGTATAGGCGGAGGAGAAGCAGAATGCATGTCTGTGTCGCTCGAGCTTCACATGCGGAAGAACTTGCAACCAGGCGAGAATGCGTCATCGCCTTGGGAGTTCCGACTGCATCAGTACTTCGCCTTGGCACGTGATGTCACTACAAGTGTTGCAATGCAATGAATTGCCGTGATAGTGCAGAGGTTCGTCTGCCTCGCGCTGTCCCGGGTTGCAGATGCCCCGGGGGCCACACGGTCGTTGCATGAAAGTCAGCTCGGAAGACACCTCAATGGAAAATTCGTGACGCTATATGGGTTCATTTATCCTACCTTTGACCAGAGCAAACAGAGGCTCGCCCATTCATGGTTGTGAGATTACACCAGCGAAGGAGCAAACAGTTAATGGCGGAATGGTGCGTTCACAGACTGCAGCGTAAACTTGCCGTACCCCGCGAGAAAAGAAATTCAAAATGAACCCCGCAACTTTCAGGAAGCTTCCCGAACAGCGGGTTTGTTCATTGGCCATCCCTTTTTCATCATAGTCTTGTTTGTCGACTTTGTCAGTCTTTTAGTCGGGCTGTGTTTGCGTACATACCTTGGAAACACAAAAGCCCTACTTGCATTGGCATGGACACAGGCAAGGATGGCTGAACTTGCCAGACACGTTTCAGCCATGATTCACAGTGCTTGCTGAGCGAGCAAACACCCCACAGCGAGTCATCGAAGTTAGGTCAACCATCTGATTAAGTAACCCGACACTTAAATCATCGGCTATCAACTATCGGATTGAGCCACCGGACTTGAGTGTCAAGTCTGTGGTTGCAGGTGGGCGGCGACTACTGCGGACAGGGTACCGTGAGTACAAGGCCGAGCCACCTGCAGCGGCAGCTTCTAGGTGGGCATGAAGAAGACAAAAGGGGTGGCAAGCCGAGAAAAAGACAAGCGGAGACAAAGCCGGCCGAGACCACCCACATGCAGGGGGACAAAGGGGATACAAGCGGAGACAAGGTGTCCAGGGACCCGGCCCTGGCCACCCACGAATCAAAGAGGCACAGAGAGGAGACAAGCCCCAAGGACCCGGACGGCAACCGGTTCGATCGGATTTCCTAGAGAGGAACAAGAACCCCTACAGTAAACTGTTTCGGAAACTGTGTCCTTACAAAGGGTGCTCTTTTAAAGAAAAAAAGAAGCGAACAGGAAGGCATAGCGGATGCTCGGTGTGTTATTGCGCGTATTCTAAACACAACATGTGACAATTCTTATCTGAACATTATACATAAGCATGCCGAGTACAATGAATTCTCGAATAAAAGTGTTCGTTCGTGAGAGGCTCTCAAAATCGGAGGTCCTTGTTTGAACTATGGGAGGAAGTGAAGATGAGGGTCAAGGTCTGGTGTAAGCAAAGAAATTGAGGCTGGTCCATAAATATAGGAAAATATAATACAATATAATATCATATAATGTAATATAATATAATATAATATATGTGTATATATATATATATATATTCGTAAAAACGACAAATGTCTTAAATAGAAAGTATAACACTACATATATATATATATATACATACATACATATACAACAAGCAGTATACTTGAAGATACAGAACATAAAGGCTGTGTATGCATGTAAAGTGTGTATGTCTATACATATATACATATATATACATATCAAATACAATGTATTTCATATGTTCTGCATTGCATAAAATATACTTTGTAGCATCTTAAATAGTACATGGATATACATACTATATGTACAGACATATTAACTATATATGCAAAAACACTAATTTGACATATTGAATTGTGTTTCTATATTGTACATATTTGGATACTTAGTTTATGTTATATCCAGGAGATGTCTGGATATGTATATTGTAACTGACATCGGAATTATAACACGTATATATATATATATATATAGTTGCTGCAGGATTTCTACTATGAAACACATTTCCTACAACTTGCATGAACTTTCTTGTATATAAACACAGTGTTCTGGGCATGCGTATATTAAACATGTTCCATTTTTGGCTTCGCACAATCTGCCGTATACAATATTATGCTTACAATATATAACATATGTCAAAAGCATCATAAACGATATACTACAAATATGTATTATGTATTCATTGAGTTCTCTTATTGCAATTCATATGTGTATGGATATATACATATATAAAAACATAGATACTGTGCATTATGTATCCTGTACATTACATATCTCATATGCTAATCTCACATTCTACCTAGCATGTTATTAATATATGCATTATACTTATAATGCGTATATATATAGATACATATACATATGTATAGATATATATATATAGATATGTATATATATATATATGCCGTGACCATTTGTGCATACATTGAACTGTAACAAACATACATGTGCACATACTGTCGCGTGTATATATAGTGTTATGTGCATTAAATGTATTTTTCCCTATACACATGTCTATATACATACTTACATACTTACAAATATGTATACATATATACACATAATAAAAATAGCTCTAACATCATAATCATCTAACAATAGCAACATTAACCTAACCGCGACAATACGAGTGACAAGAAAAGTCATACAGACTACCTTCCATTGGTGTTTAATCTGAAGTAGGTATTCCTCCTGTTCTCTCGACACGAAGAGAATTAAATACTAAGGAAACACGAACGAATAAGTCCTAAACAAAAGGGGGACCTCCACTCACAACCACTTGACTTTTGACACGCGTAAGTCAGCACAAGAAGCGTGACTCGATCATGCAACGGCACTCGGAGCTCTTCATGCTTGGCATTTTGCCTTGCCACACCGCTGACAAAAGATGCATGTACAGACCGTTCTGTGCCCCGTACAAAACGGATGCAAGGAAGGCTCGCTGCCAGCTCAGCCCTTTGGGCACCTAAGCATCTCAACTGGATCCGTTAGCATTTCAGCAATCGCCCGTGCGTGTCTGTCCGTGACTCAGCTCTCGGAGGTGTTGCAGCACGTCAGTTGGGGCAGACCTCTGCACCAACCTCTCTGCTTTGATATCCAGCACGGCAGTATGCTGATAGGCTGCACAAACTATGCACTATGCAAATGAAGCTGCATGAAGAAGCCGAGATTGGGACTGTCCAAAGCATCTACAACCAGTGGAAACAGGAGAAGCGACCTACGACAGCATCCAATCAGATTGAGGAGGGCTGCTTTCATGAAAACGTTTCCGACTGTGCACAGGAATCCGATGAAATTCGATGGGGCTCTCACAGGTTGGGAGCTTTCATGGCTCACGAATCGGGCGACTTCGTGAAGAATGCCGGCCTGATCAGCCTGACAGCAGCTGACGCAGCTCGGTGGCGCGTGATGAGCCAATGATGGCCAAAGGGGCCACATGTCGAGCCTGGCCTTGCATAACCCGCTGACCCGAAGCCTCGGGATCCTCAGGCAGGAACCCCCATGGCCCCCGACGTCCCATGTCACTTGACCAGAGACTTATCACACTGAGTGGAGTTTGACGTGGCGAACCTGGAGTTTATCCCAGCCTCAGCGTGGTATGTCTACACTACGTACAAGCTTCCATAAAGCTTGTTTGCTCCTGTCACCTCCGTCTGGCACTGGCAAGTGCACAAAGCAAGGTTGGCGGGTTGGGCTGATCTTTTGTCCTGGCTAGGAACCACACTGATGCAGAGCCGGGCCTTTTCTTATCCTTTTCTTGGCAGTACATGCAGATTTCGTCGGATTGCGCCTGGACTACTCGTCTCGTCTTTGGCTCGACTGCCGAAGGGTGCTTGGTTTTGTCTCTGCTTGTCTCCACGTTTGCCTCACTTGGTGGCAGCAAGGCTCCCAACGACGAAAGTCGAAAGCATGGATATCCTAAAAGGTGATGCAAAGACCCTCCCCGATTCGCTGAGCACACTGCAGCGGGGCAGGCTCTTCGTTGAACCCCGTGAGGCCTCCCAGCACAACTTGCAAAAACGGTCCTTTCCACTTCGTGTTTTTCATTCCTGCCTGGCCCACCGCCAGGGTCACTCACTGAGCTGCCTTGAGCAAAAAGTTGAGATGATCGGCTGCTGCTTGCCATGAATGGCTATTGCGTTTCGGAGCCGCAACATCAAGCAAGCAATATTCTGCAACAGGTGAATACAAGCAAACAAAGGCCAAGTGATTTACGAATTCCCGCATCCAGATGGAATTGGTCGGTGGTCCATGTTTCTGAACCTCCAACCTGGAGTTTCAGGCTGCGTTGCGGATCTTAAGAGCACACAGCATGCTACAGCCTGGCAATCTCAGAGGCCTGGGTCTAAAAATAAAATGCAGTTGGTTGCCCACTGCAGGACTGCGGCGCATGCAAGGTACCATCTGTGCTGCCTTGGTGTGGGACATGGCGAGGGTATACTTACTGGCTCAGCCATGTTCACGTCCACAGTAGCCCATAATTTACTTGGGGCATTCCATTAGCTGCCTACATGTCAATTCATGTGCGAGCTGCAAGAGTGGTAAAGTCCCGCTTATGGGGCCGGCCATGTGTGAAACAGTTTCTAAAACTTCTAGATGCATACCCTGATGCAGCTGAGAGTTCGTATCATCCTGTAGCTGAATATTGCTCACGCCTCTTGCAGGTTTCTTCGAGCAGCTACGAATGTGCAATGACGCATGCTTTCCCAGCATGCTGCTGTCAGAGCTTGCAATCAATAGCTTGCAATGTGTTTGGCTCAGAGGCCGTATAAACAAAATGAACGAATTCAACAGCAACTCTCGTGCAGGGCAGAAATATGCAGAAACCCGGCTTTCAAAGCTTTCAAATGTGAATGAACACTGGTTGAATCGTGAGTGAATGGAAACTCACGCTTGTTGAATCTACATGACTAACTTGCCTAGCTGGTGACCCTTCCCAAGCATTCGGCGAGCCTGCTAACTGCCCACAGGTTGACTTATCCGGCGCCCGGTTAAACGACACCAAGAATGGGAAATCCGTTTCTGTTCCTTGTAGTTCCGTACCACTTTCTGAATCTTGAGCGAACGAAAGGAGTGAGTCACACACAATTAGGTTACCTGTTCCTTCTACTTAACGATCTCTATCTTTATCTCGTACTATTCGTTACAGCCTGGTGAATACACGAATACAGAGGTGAAGAGAAACCAGAAAAGGACAGCACAATTTGCCAGTTGCCCACGAGTGAAAGCTGCTGTCAGATGTACACCAGGTCCGACTCGTCCGAATCATCCAACTCTTTCAGAGCCAGCCTCTTGCTGTTTCACTTCGCGTACCGCGCACAAGATTGTGCCAAACATGCTTGGGCCTCGTAAATCCTCGGGTTGAGGAAGCTGCAGCACCTGAAATCGGCATGCATCATGCTGCTGCAGCGGCCGCACGAATCGCATGATCCAATAACATTGCTTGGGGCGTTTGCTGCAGCAATTGTGTCGCTGACGGGCGGAAGGCAGGATCCTTGGCAACACCCGCAACAACTAAACAAGGCACGTAGATAAGATTGAGCATGGTGAAGAGGCTGTCGTTCCTCTTTCGTGCACCGCTTCATCTGTGGTAAGTTCAGCTTGCGAGGGGTCCGGACAGCGTCTCAAGAGCGAACTTGGAAACACCAACTGATCGTGTCAACCTGATTTCAAAATCTCGTACTTGTGCTAACTTCTGCTACGTTCACGGTTCTTTCGCATGACTCCAACTTTTCCTAATGTGAGGTCCATCAAGGCACCTGCGAATGCCATGTGATGCTAATCCGCAGACAAGGAACCCTCTAAGAAGTCTAGAAACTTTAGATGGGGGGCTGCGCGGGTAGAATTGGCTCTGGTGCAGATTTGCCTCCAAGCATGCTTCAGAGGCAGTACAATGCTGAACAGGATTCTTTGAGACGGCCCACGGCGGGTCTCAATGCATCTGAGGTCCCCACCAGAACCAAGGCAGCAAGGAGCAATTGTCCGAGCTCAAGCTGCCAACAGAACACCAGCAACTTACAAAGTTCTGCTTCTAGGAAAGATTTCAGACGCACATCCTGCTTTCGGGTATTGTCGGGCCAGGAGCAGCGTAAACATCGCAAAAACAAACGGAATTCACCCCGACATCTTGCCAACATCGGACGCGTCGACAGAGGAGTCACTTGTATAGCCATGTTTTGTCATACTAGTCTGGTCTATGCCGCGTCCATGCCCCATGTTTTGCGCGTCTGGTTGCTTCTCGTGAGCAGGGAATCCACAGGCTGACGGTGGGATATCAGGCAATGTCTGAAGTTTGGCACGAACCAGCCTTGCGAGAGAGGACGGCCAAGGCGGGCGAAATGCGAACGGCCAATAGACATGGGTGAGTGCGGAGCTTGGGGGTGCAGCACAGTCAGCAGTCAGAACCCGAACTGAGGTCAGCCACTTCGGCTGTACATATATATATATAGATACATATATATATATATATATACTGCTTCTATGTTGGTAGCATAGCAGCAGCACGGGAGCACGTCCCGGTTCGTACTAGAGACAACAACGTGAGCCACGCAAAATCCAGAAATGTCTCCTTCTGGCCTTGTCCGAGCTCTGCCATCCTTGCCCGAGAACTTGCTCAAGTCCCCAGCGCTTCGGCCTCAGTCTTTTTAGCTGAAGAGCTTTAAGCCAATGCGAAATGAATACGAACATTGGATGTAATAAGCCTTCACAACTGAGGGGACAATCGGGCCGGCTGAAACTTTTGCAGCACTGCCCGTGGTCGATGCATATTTGTCACAGCATTAACACCCATCAAAAGGAGGGGCCTCAAGTGTCCAGTTGCAAGATTCGTCCTATCTTGTGAAGCACTTGTCGAGGATATGCAACACAGCTGCTAAGACAGCTGCCCTCATGACTACAATCGCTTAGAGCACCGCAAGAGTTTTGGATCTGCAATACTGTGCTGCTGCACTGAGCACTCCAAGATCCAGGCACAAGCAATAGTGTCGTTCATGTAAGGGGCCAACCGCTTGTAGCGGGCCATAACGGAAAAAGCTCAAACGATCTTTCAAATTACAGCCATGGTCGCAGATGTCTAATTATCTACACATCTAAATACTTGCCATGTATATTGTGTAACCAACAAGTTTTAACGATACAGAGTATTTACATGTTGAATTTCCCTGTTCGGAATTTCATTGTCAACACGAAGTTCTGTGCTGTGACATCTGAGTGTGCCTGGCCTGAGCGGCTCCAGCTGGCCGCAGGCAGTTCGCCGCAACGGCCAGTGTCGCGGTGCCTGACGCTACGTCAAGCGGAAGGATCTCCTAACGCTGTTGGTAGGCTTCGAATGCTGTATCCAACTGCTGCGACTACCACCTGTACAACATTTCTGGCTGTTCGATGGTTCAAAGAGTTTGAAGTCGTGGCATTTCTGGTTGTTCACAAGCTCGCTCCACTGTAGCAGTAGCAAGCTCGAACCACTGCAGGGTACAGTGTTCCTAGCTGTGCTCAGGCACAATATGCCATCCGTTAAACGCTTCGAGCTTTCACCTTTTCCCGCTGACCACAGCGCTGCACAAACTCGCCAGGAAGACTGGAGTGTAAAGCTGACGCACATCCAATGGACTTCGTCGGAGGAGAGACCTAGCCAAACAACGCAATTACATGTTGAAACTGATTCCAACATGTGTCAGCCAGCCATACAACGCAACTAGAATCATTTAATGGGGGCGCGGCGGCGGCACGCCATCGCGCAGGTTGCACAATCCCAGCGCTTGAGTCATTACCACCTTTCAAGGCCGACTTCTCCAGATTTCTCCAGCAAAGCTTGAAAAACGATTGTAGATCTCTACATGTCTACATACCGCGACTACATGTCTACGTACCGCGACTAGGCTCCGGCTTGTTGGGGGCAGTCATGAGGCAAGTTCTTGACAAGCTGCCATCCACATGCGTGAATGCCTGCTTCAGTCGAAAGTGACACACAGCCTCCGCCGTGTCCATCTCCGATCGCCAGACCGTGCGCCCGCAAAGTAGCTCACAAAGGGAAACCTCTGCATCTCTCTTGGCAGGAGGGCGGTCGACAGCTGCCGTCGTGCTCCGCATGCTCACAGGAGACAAGATGCAGAGTTGCGTGCGAATGGCTGAAACCCGCTATGGCGCGGTGAGCGAAAAAGTTGCAAGAGATTGAAAGAGCGCAGGTTGCTGCGATTCGCGCAAACTTTGAGATTCCCGCAGCGGTGCCCCAAACATCTGCGCGATGACCAATGGCAAGGCGAAGTGTCATTTCCGGTGCCCACTTGCCTTGCGCACAGGTTACGCCTTAACCTACTCATTCCATCCATACATTAATACGCTTTGTCTTTAAGGCCATGTCAAACACTAGTTCACGACATTCACAACATTGCACCGCACACGATTGCAAGTTCGCACGAAGTGTCCGAAGTGAAGAGGTTCCGATGTTTTTTGAGGCACCAGCCCAAGTGGCCAGCTCCACCTTCAGCAAGAGCCCTGGCAAGATCTTGTGCACGTCACGTATGGTGACAGCAGCTGGCATGGCTGAACAGGATCGTGTCTTATACGTGTCCTCGAGTTCCGCTACTGCGACATGCTCAAAAGAAGACGAATGAATGGAGTCAGTCACACAAACCAAAAAAAGGCAAGCTTTGGGGCACACTGCAAAACCAGGACTTTGCACACTCAAACCGTGAAAGCATCGCTTGAGGTAGCCAAGAGCTTTGAGAGTTCGGAATGGAAGATCGCGAGGGCGAACGGGTCCGACTCATGCAAGGGCAGCCTAAACGCCTGAACCAGACTAAGTGACTAAGCCTTCAATCCTCAACCATAGATCCTGAAGCCTATGACGTAATGCAAGCGAATTGAATCTGGGGATTGAAGACGAATCAAGCTTAAACGTGAACCATTTAAGATGTAAGCGTAAACTTGAACACTTGAAGATTTAAACTGAAGCATTAATCACGGACGTTGTCAACTCTTGGCCGGGCATGCCAGTTGCGGCCGTTTTCATAACGGTGATCAAGACCTGTTCTTGTAGCTCAAAGACCGTCAGCATCAGTGCTTTGTCTTTGTCAGGCTTTGTTTCCACACTCCGTCCTAGCTTGTGATTTGCACTTGCCGCTGTTCTGGCACTGCGAACACACTGAGCTGGTGGCGCGCGCATCCGAAGTCCACGATCTTGACCTTAAAAGATCTGGTTTTGTGCTTTTCAGCTTGCGATGAGATAACTTTCTCCCGAGAATGGCAGTGCGGCCCGGGAGCGCGAGGGCCGGAGCCATGATTGGCCTCTTGAGATTTCTGTAGATCAATCTTGACTAATCTTGACTATCCCTTCTAGCAATCACTGTTTCAAACATCCATTCTCTGCCTGCTCTGTCGGTCCTCTTAATGTGCGTTGTCACAACTCGCCTCTGTCCAAATCAGGTTGTCTGGCTTGATGTCATTGTGAACAATGCCCGCTTTGTCCAACATCACCAGACCTGCATCAGAGCGCGCGTGTGAGTTTGCGCGCATTTGCGTGTTGAGCTGCAACGCCTTCGGCAACACCACTTGCAGTATCTTGCAGTATACATTTGCTGTATGTATACGCCTTGCACCTCAAAGTCACCCGAGACCTGTACCTGAAAGTGCTCCGAATGCCACGAGGCGCAATTTCCTGGAGACAATGCGTTGATGTTGCTGGATCGTGGGTTGCCACGATTCGAGTCGAGTGCCGCAGGCGTCTATTCAGGCGACATTGCAGTAAGGCCAGCTCGCTAGATCTTGGAAGAAGCCCTGCTGCTCGACAGACAGTGCCAAGCAGTTGCGACCCTGACATGCAGGTGCCCATGACAAAGCTCCTTGACATCCAAAGCTTAACCCTACATGGGTTTCAGCTCCACAAGCATCCATCACTTGGTTCTGCCTCCAACATGCTCTCGACAGTGTAGCCCACCTGGACAAGCCACGCAGCATCGCGCAACTGTGTCCAGGTTGCCGAGAGATGGGGAGTCGAGTGAGCGGAGTGAACACTGCAAACCGGCGTGTTCAGGAAAAGCATACGCATGCAAAGGCTTTCGCTGAGTCATAGAAAGCATCAACGAGAATCGGGAAGAAGCTCCCGCCTGACACAATGACACTGCGCTTGACAGCAGAAATTACTTCCATCCGGTAAGCGAAAGCCTGGATCCACTTCCTGCAGCCGCTGGCCAACAACGTACAAGTCGCCCAGGGCCTACAGTACAGTCCGGACCGTGGAGTGACTAATGTTGCCAAAGTGCTGTCGGCCTCAATGGGGAGATTGCGGTGGCGCTTCACGCACACCTTAATGGGGGTGCAAAAGCCAGTCTACGCCTCATCCTCTGTACAGGAAAGTAGGACTGCAGCATGAATTTCGGCTGCTGAAAATCAAACAAACTTGGGTTTGGGGGTGGCATCGTAGCTCGACATGAAGTAGCACCAGGGCATGCGGCATGTGCTTGCACGCGCGGGTAGCGATCCTGCACTTGCCGAAGGTGGCGCGGGTGGCTTGAGCTGCCTTGAACAGGCATGGTCCCGTTGCGACCGGCAACTGGGAGGAGGCCTGTAGGAGGCCCTCTGGTGTTTCGTGAACACCCCCAGTGTGGAAGAGAAGCGTATAGAAGCGTGGAGCTCTGAGTGGAGGTGAAGAGGGCAGCTACCCATGGAATTGATTCACCTAACAATAACGATCCAACTCCGGGACCGTGCTGGCCAGCTGGTGCAGAATGGTGCAGCAGCTGACGAACGCAGAGGTCAACGGGAAGGCCGTCTTCCGCAAGCAGAAGCTGGACAATAGGGTCGATGAATAAGAGCGTGTGCCGAGCCGGGACAAGAGTACTTTAAAATCCACTCCTCATGGTTGGGACTATTCGGAACGACCGTGTACTGCTGACAAAACAGGGAAAAGATGGGAATCTAAGAAATGTTGAGTGCCCTACTTCCGCGAAACCGCTATCTTACGAAACATTTTGAACTGTAGTGAGGGTTGCCCATGTGCTTTGGGTGGGCAGTGGATGGTGGGGATGGATGGAGGGTCCGGCAGAACTCCGTGTTCGTCCAGATGCGGTGTTGATGCAAGCGCGCCGGACCTTCGCAATATGCCCGTGCCCCAGTCGTCCACGCATTGTGCGGCGATGCAGTCGTGCCAGACCATTATATCGATTGCGCAAAAAAGCCTGCACCGTAAGCGATCCTAAATGCATCAGGTGCATTCACAAGCCCAACCTCAAACAGGTGAAGAAACAAAAGCTGCATCAGAATCATAGTGAGTTGACTCACATCAACTCACATCTCAGCCTTATCCTAATCAAAATTCTTTGCTTGTGGCAAAGCGCAAGCTGCAGTGAGCCGCAGACCCGTCTATCTTCCTTGAGATCATGGGCCTGAAAAGCCTGCTTCCAAGAGCCAGCAGGAGGGGAAACTAAGCAGCAGCAGTCATGTAGGATCGACAAGGCCCCCTTGCCTTTGTGAAATGGCCTTCGCCAACTGGATGTTTCACCTGATACCTGCGTATGAGTCCTACTGATGCTGCACTTTGTTGGGAAGCAAGATGCCGCAACCCAGTTCATACTGGTACAAGTAGAAGCACATGCCTTTGGGCGAGAACTTCCCCAGTGGCCAAACCTGAACTCATAAGGCTTCGTCACCACTGCTGTCATTGTCAGCTACCCTAGCCACGTGGCCTGAATCGCCCAAGACTGCGCTGAACACAGCAACCAACAAGGCCATGGCATTTGCTGCTCAAGTGATCTCGTGCATGGCCACCTTGAGCACTTCATGGCATGGCACGGCATGGCTTCTGGCACAAACTAAAATGTGACTCAGCAGCCACTTTGCCCCCATTCTTGGCAGGACTGCTGGCGTGCTTCAAGGCTCAGCAATGGCACATCATGGCATATGTCACTTGAGTTGCATCCAAACTGGATTATATACGTGGGCATGCAGCAGAAACCTCTCAACGAACGAGCAGCTTCTGAGATTCACGCCGCAAACATCACGCCGCAAGCGCATTCGCACGAAGGTCCAAGTTTCTGCAAGCAACACACATATGGTCTGACAGACTTGCCACATCAGTGTGTAACCTCAAACATCACGACTAATTCGGCGAAACACGGTGAAACATCATTCATGTGACGAGGGCTGACTTACATCCATAAACGGAAGCCCAGGCTACGCATGACCTGGTCCATCGTCTGGAAGTGCCCGGCTTGATGCCTCAATGGTAGCTTGCGAAAACAGCACATAGCATGAAATGCACTTGGAATCATATTCATGACATGCCTTCAACCCAAACGCGCGAGTGTTCCTTGCCAATTGCGTGCTCCCTTTTCATCTTGGTTCCATGCAGCTCTCTATGGCGCCTCTGGGGTCTTAACTGACCAATTTTCTCCACCTGTATCGTCCTTCAATCCGACTGAAATCGTTCTGCTTCTACTTTCCCATACTTTTCCAATCGGGGATGCGGAATGCAAATTCAGAAGGCCGCTGACCAGGTCAAAGAAAGCCGGACAATCAGCATACTCACGCCACTAGCCAACATATTCATGAACATGCTAACACAGCGCACCTCTTTAATATAGTGCAGGATTCTGTTCTTCATAGTTGTCCTCTGGGTTTGAGGGCACTTGCACTGTCAACTTTGGCTCTCAGCTCAACCTCTCAACTGGCTCTGAATTTTAGCACGAAGCCGGGGGGGGATGGGGGGGGGTGGTGGTGGCGGCTAACGAAGCACAGATTCTGGAATGTGCTCTCTTGGCACAAAAACTTTCAATCGTCTCTGAAAATTCTAAAGTCGAGAGAGGGTTCTGGTTGGGTTGGTCAATGTTGGTCACTTGTTCTCTGTCTGACACCCTGCAACTCTGCGATGGGGAGTCCACTTTCAGGCTTTCTAATCCTTCAAGGTCTTGCTGGATTCTGGACAAAAAGATACTCGATCAAACGAAACAAAATCACTACAGCAGAAAAATCGGCCTAAACAATGCAGACGCTCCTACGGATATGCCTTTTGTCTGAAGGGTAGTCACACAAAAACCCGTTGCCCTCACATCGTATCGTACAAAGAGGAATCACGAGGATTTCTGTAAAGCTGCTTGGCGAATGCCCTGAAAAATTCCAGCACTGGTAACACGTAGCAGCGCAAGGCACAACGCAGTCCTGGGACTCATGCAAATGGTGGTGGCCATCCTGGCAGAATTTGTTCCGACCAAGCCTCCGCCAGAACTTCCTGCGTCAATATTTACGAGCCAGCAGTCAGCCCAACTTGGACTCGCGATGCAGTGACTCGTGGAGACACAAAGCTGCGCTAGCAGGGACGCTCATGATGCTGAGCTCAGTCCTCGGAAAGGGGCTCCGACACCTTGCTGCGAGACGAACATGGCAACACAACGGTGCAAAATGAACCGGGCTGATGCGATACAGATGTGATGTGCTTCATGTCTTCGCCTCGACTGGCACCAGTGCCAACTCTGACTTGCACGGGGGATGCCCATAGAACTCCGTCCAACAGCTTTCACAGTACCTGGTCGAGCAATATCTAAGGAATCTATATAAAGCTGCTAGAAGTGAAGGCAAAACTTAGAGCAAGGCAAAGGACTGTCTACAATAATGTCCGAGTCCTGATCTATCATGACCTTGATGTCACCAAGCTTCTCGCGCGCATCACGACTACAAGATACACATTCCCAAGCCTCGCATTCTCCCCAACCACGTTCAAGGTTTTCATATTCCTAGACAACACAAAAGGCCCCCAATCCAAACCTCTGCTACCCCTTCCGTTTGTCCACGTCTTTTTCAAGAGCAAAGCCGCTTAATGCCTTTTCTTGCATCTTGTTGCGTGCCATAAAAAAAACCACCCGACCCTGAAAAAGGTGGTGTGGCGGGAACCCTGCGCGCCTGTGCACAACTGATTCACAGCCTGAGCTCCTGTTTGACAATACACCTGCATGTAAATCAAATTGTGTAGCCATGATGGGCCACCAAACTGACTTTGCACCACAAGAACTGAAAGGACGAACATTAACATGATAAAACAATAACAAAATAGACAACCGCCACTACTGCAGCGGACTGAGAGCAGGATGAGAGCAGGCTTGAAACAAAGAGAGACAAAGACTCAACAAGACAGAGAGCAGGCTGCATTGTGCGCACTGTGAATGCCAACTACCAGAAGAAAGGGACAGTGACCGACAAAAACGCTGCCAGGAATGCTGGGCTGGACGGGCACTGGTTCAAATCGCTCGGGTCCAGGAAGAGGTTGGCGGCCTTGTCAGCATGGTTCCAGAAATGCAGTGATCCCGGCAAGTCCTCCAACCAACTTTCAGGGGGCGTGATGGTGACTCGGCGAGTGTGGGTCCAAGCTCAGCCATATAAAGATCATGACGAAGGGCCTCCATAAAAATTCTAGTCTTGACATGCGGCGCGTGAACGCCATAATTCATTCAGGACAGGATTCAGGACAGGACGAGTAGATTTTGGACACAAGATCATCACAAAATCTTTGAAACTTGGAGACTCTTTGATGGCTGGCCTCGCAGAAACACTGGCTGCAGGTGGATGCAGATTTGGTGAAAGCTGCAGGACTGCACGTACTGGCCTTGACAGATTGCATCCGAAGAGGTGATTCTGATAGTGATAGGCTCTGCCAAGCTCCGGGCAGTAGACTCCAGCGAAAATTGCTGTTGACCCTGGAGGCCCTGAAGGTTGGACACCGGATATTCCCCAAAGTCAAAGGTATGACACATCAAGACCAACACAACACCAGCACATGCAGCACACACTGCCATTTCAGCACCTCGTCAGCTTTATCTCCGCTTGAAGCCTGCGACATGAAGTCTTCGCTGCTGTGGTACGAGCTCGAACCATCGACAATCCAAAATATCCCGAACCTCCACTTCGTGCACCACGATCCCTGGCAAC